AGGTAGACGTCCATTTGGTTGTTCGACCCCTGCAAAAAACAACATATTTCACATAGTGATAGATTCCCTTTAAAGCCAACAGGGGAAAAACATATTCTTAAGCAAATGGAAGTAGATAACATGGAACCTCAGCAGGTGTTTTGGACTTCTCGCATTTGCTGAGCCCCGAAATTCTGGAAAATTGTGGCTTTTGAAAAAGGCCAACAGGAAACCTGCTACTTTCGGGTCTAAGCTTGCAACACACCCCAGCTACTGTGGATGGACGATATCCGTTCGCACCACTTTCAAACCAAGGGAACCCATTGTTGACAAAGCTGGTGTTTACGGGGTCCCGGAATCATCGGACTCCAGGGTTTCTTTGGTGGCGAAATGGGACCTTTCGTCCACCAGCACGGCTTGGCTTCACCGAAGGTGACCACCGACAAAGCCGCTCCCATTTCACAGGGCTCTTGATGACTCCCCAGGGCTTAAAAAAAACAGGCCAACACCCCCCAAAGAGAAGACAGGGCAACCGGAAAAACTGCTTTCTCAGAGTCGCCCCAGGTGATTCAACTGTGTTCTGGGGCAATAAGTAATCTTTCTCTTGACGTTGGCGAACGCGCCGAGCCTCTGGCCGATTGTAGCTTGGCTCGAAATCCATCGGACCATGTTCGCTTTACGAATCTCCCCCTTTTTGGTTCCACATCAATTTTGGGTGCTAGTTCACGGGATCCGATCGCTTGCGCCAAAGGACCATCAAGTGTTCGCGTCATATCGGAAAGGAGTCATTTGCCAGAACCCATTCCCAAAATCATATCACCAAAATGGTCCAAGCCCAAAGAGGTGAAAGTCCAGGAACTCGGGAAATGAGACCATGGCTTCGACGTCGGTCATCTTTCAGCCCAGGCGGCTTCTTTTTCGCGAGATTTCGCGATCCCGTCCTCTGAATCCTCGAGTGGAGCGAGCCGAATCGGGGAACTTTCCCCATGCTCCCAAGAAGTGCCAAAACATGGGGCAAATCAAACCCCGACCTGGGAATTGGGATGGCGAGACCCTATTCCTAATCCGTTCTCCGGAGTGGGATGCCACAGCAAGGAAAAATGGTGAAAAGGATAAAGGATTGAAGCCAAACCTGGGCTGCCCTCAGAGCCCCCGCCAAGAGTTTAACTTTTGGTGGGTTGAATGGAAACTACCACTGAACACTAAAAAGCTAAAAAGCTAAGGAACCGGATGGCTGGGAGCCACCAATCGTTCTTATCAAGAACCAGCCATTTCCCCGCGGTTTTGGGGTGGTTTTCCAGAAAGAAGGATCCCTGGAAAGAATGGACATGGAAGTTACCCCTAGACGAACGCCGCAAAATGAAAAAAACGGTCCAACACAAAAAAGACACACACACACACAAACTGGTGGACACCAAGAAGGCGAGAGAACCACAAGTCACAAGGGGTCTCCCTTGCGACTCCCCCCAATCCTCGGGCCCTCGGCTTGGGCCTGATGTACGGCCTTCTTGGGCTGTAAAGGGGCTTCCAAAGGCGTGGTGGAAATTCCGGGGCGCTTGTCTCGATACTCCTTGTCCACAAAATGTTAGCGTCTGCTGGCCGCACTATACCAGTATCAAAGTCAGGTTAGTGCTAGGCGAAAGAGAAACCACCAAGCGGTTGACTTTGACAAGATCAAAATCATGTGACCCCAGCTGGTCTTTGGGCCAAAAAGGTGTCAGAATCCTTCTCTAGTCTCTGGTCTTACCCGACACAAATCCAAGTGCTGCCCAGGCACCTGCGCGAGCTCCCGAGACGCCTCCTGGTACGTTGTGGTGGGCCTCGGGCGTCGCATGCCTGAATGGTTTCCATTCGCTTGGACTCGGATTTGAAGCCCTGGGTCTTGTAGAGGGTTAAAGGGGAAAACTTAGGCACCCTCCAAACTACCAAACAAAACCACCTATGAGAGGGAAGCGGCGATTCTGTCACAAAGAAAGTGGGCCTGAAAACACAATTTTCGAGCATGTACCTGACAGTTTCTAAGACCTTTTGCCCTCAGGGCGAACCCAGGATTTATAAACCTGGCTGATTCAAATAGTGGGCATGCCATTAAGAAGAACATCTTCATTGCTTGAGGAACAATACCACCCCAAACAGTGTGCCAAGTTGACTAATCCTGGTTTGACATTGCTCAGGTTCTTTGTTGGTGGGAAGGGTACCCAAGGCATTCCTCCTTACCTCATACTTCCGAATGTGCGAACTTGCCAATTAACAAATCCCAGCCCCCAAAATTCAACGCTCTGGGGGTGAATTTCAGCGCACGGCGAGAACAAACCAAAGGTTCACGCGCTTTCTCCCGCGGAGTCGCAGATTCTGTCATGCAATGCAGCTGGTGGGTCGGCTAAAGGACCTCATGGTTCAAATGTGGCTCCCTTTGCGGGGCTTGCTCCGTTTTCGGTAGTCGTAAAGGGAAATCAGCAAGCAAAGCACTGAATTGGATCATCTGGCGATCATCCTGTGGGCTGAAAGTTAGGTTTGGGGAAGTCCCAGAAGAGAGAAGGCTGCACTTGCCGAAACGGGGCGACCAGGAACAACTGAAAGACCCAAAAGTAGTCTTTAACCATAGAAGGCCAACATATTAACGAAATTTCCAACAAGAGTTGGTTCTTAAGGTAATAACTATGCGGCATTGATAGGCGTGCCTCAAAATAGGGGGATCCTTAGATTCCCTTTGACCCCCCGCCTAAAAACAAAAAGCGCTCACAAAAAGAACCCCCCATTTTGTGGAGCCAATCATCTAGACCGGGGAATCGGGGGATAGCCCCCGCGGCTTGCTCCAGCGTCTGTACACATGGCTCGCTATGGCCCTGTGACGTGCCACCCCCAAAAAAAAGTGCAACTTGTCAACTTGCTTGGCGATTTGGCATGTTGGCTTGAACTAGCGCATTGCTGGTTGGGAGACGTACCCTCCGGCTTCCACAAGCGCGGGTCAAATCACCAAACCACCAATCCAAACCAATCAAGGGTTGCCTGACCTTGCCATCAATGAGAACCTTCAACGGCAAGCTGCACTCATCCCATGGCCCAAAGTGCCTTTTGAATCAGGGTGGACGGAATGGACAGGGACCTGAAAAACTTGCTGGTGCTCAGCAATCAAGGACGAAATAGAATGAGCCCCAAAAAAACCATCCATCCGATTTGGTTTCCTTTATTCGAGAATCCCCAATCCGGTTCATTCCATTTCTCATTCCTCACCTCTCGCAAAGGCCAGAAACGGAACCTCGTTGCTCAGGGACCCGTGGCCCCGAGGCAAACTTGCAGCTCCCGACCTTTACCACAGCTAGTCCTTCTAGGATCTTCGAAAAGGAGGGCCCCAGTCCGAATGGTGAGTCCCAAAAGCCCAGCAAGAGTCCCCAAATTAAGAATGGTACGAATCCATGAAAAGGCTTGAGGGAACTACAACTTGGAGACTCTTTTTGGAAGAGAAGCTATGTGCCGGCACAGGGCGCGAGCTTTGCGGCAGTTCCATGCGGAAGCTGCCAATTCAAGTGCGCTGATGACAAGGGCACAGCCCAACTCGGACAAATGGACGCTTGCAACCAATGCCCCTTTTGGCGATTGCGCCCTGAACAAAAAGATTAACGTCTTGTGGGCAAGCGGGGAAAATGCAGATTTCCAGCCAACAAGTTCAACAGCTCAAGATAAAACCAAATAGCACCCAACACAGGACCTGAACAAACAAGGTGATCACAGGTGATCACCTTTGGGGCGGCGATGACCGTGACTGGGTGCAGGAAGGTGAGGTGTTCGGCTTTGGTTTTTTGAGCTCCTTCCAATCCATAACCATCCAGAATGGGTTGCAAAGTGACATGTGGATGGCCTGGGCCTGTCTAGGATTTGGATTCTTGGACCACCAAAATGGGTGGTTTCCCATTGGCTTCCCTGTAAAACTAACCCAACAAAGGGCACCTTAAAACAAGACGCACCACTAAATTTAAAGCCGATACCCTGCACGAGACAACATCTCGAGGTCAAATGGGCCTTTCAGGTTGCTGGGACAATTGAGAAAGGTGCAGGCGACGGATCTGCATTGTGGGCTGGCTCGCTGGCTGGCTAATCTTGCCTATTGCAAAAAAGTACGATTAAACAACAACGAAAAATGGATACAATATACGTTCACATTGTTTGTCTCCTGAACAGGCTGGCAGGTCACATTGTTTGTCGCAGGTCACTTTGTTTGTGTCCTGAAAAGGCTGGCAGGTCAGCACCTGCAAGTGCACCTGGTCGTGTGCAAACCCAATTGCTGCCAACAAGAGGAGGCAATGTGTTTGTCGTGTTCTCCCTTTGGGAACTTGAGCGCGCCCTGCATGCTGAAATCTCCGAGTGTGGGTTCCGTTCTCGTCCAAGCGGGGCTGCAGCGTCTGGAACCGGCGCGCGCTTTGTGCGGAGACCAGGTCTGGAGGCGAGCGAGCTCGCTCCATCTGCCCGCGCCATCCTGCGGATTACAGCACTTGAAGCGCCACCCTCCCTGCTGCAAGCGTCCCTTCAAAAAGCTTCTGTGTGGTTAAGACCCCTGGAAAAAAAGCGACAATAATTCCAGTAGTGATAGATTCCCTTTCAAACCAACAGGGGAAAATAAAACATTTTAAGCAAATGGAGGAAAGGACATCGATCAGTCAGGCACACTCCCAACACGGGCTATGTTAGTGGGAGGAAGGCTACCAGAGTTGCAGGGACCTCACAGCCCCGCTTTTGACTGCCGGACAAGTGTTCAATACTTGGACGGCCTTTGGAGCGAAATGCTGATGCAAAGAGGTTCCCAAAACAAGTAACATGACGAGTGAGTTCTAGATGCCAGACGTTGCAAATATTGGCAAGTAACTATGCAGCTCAAAGGAATCCTTATTTTAGGCTGATAAAGTATTTCAGCTTAATCCAGAAATCCATCAGCCCCCCCACCACTTCAGGGCTTTCAAAACCTTCGGAGCAGGTGTGCAAACCCCGCACCGGCGCCCTATGCAAAGGCTCCCTGCAAGCCCGGCCTATAGCACGTCCCTCAGCCAGGATTCGTGCCTTGCAGAAGCCGATTCGCCGAAACATGTCGAATCCCTGTCTTGCATTCGAAGAACTTGCCTACATCACCCTTTGAAACCGCTAGAAATGGTTGACCTCTGAAACTACGGCGGATGGACGAAATCCTGCACCACCCAAGACACCCTGGCTTCTGATGAATCCCCTGTAAATCCAACAATGGTTTCAACGTGATGCACAGTATTAAAAGGGGGCGTGCTGATTTTGAAGAAGCCAGTTAGAGAATTATGGCAGATTCAGCAGGGAATCCCTGGCCTGCAAGCGAACAACCACGCTCGTCGAAGGAAGGGAAAGCATTGAAGCATGACAAAAAGTGCGGCCTGGAGATAGTTGGCCGCTGGATGATCTGGATGGACGGAAAACAGAGGCAACTAAAATCTACTCTTGCGGGGTGGTCGTCGTTCAGAGGCTCGAAGCAACTCAGGAGAATGACAGCCACAAACTCGCTTGCAACCCAAGGACCTGGAAATAAAAGTTCAACCTTTTGAACATTGACTAGAAATAGACAAATCAGGAAACCCAAGCAGTTGTAAAGTCGGCTTGCAAGCAAAGGACCCAGAAATCAACAATCCGATCTTGGAAGCTCGACGAAACAGTCTAGACTCATAGGCCATGGAAAGCCATGCATGACCACATGGAGCACAAGGTGAGTCATAATCAACACCTGGTGACTTTGATATAATGTTGTTTACAATATATATATATATATATATGTATGCCTAGACTCTCCATGACCCTTTAAAATGGTTGGTCATTACCCAAAAGAAAGGTTTCATGACACCTTTTGTTAAGGGTCATGCAGACACTAGGTATGTACATATATATATATATATGCCTAGACTCTCCATGACCCTTTAAAGTGGTTGGTCACTACCCAAAAGAAAGGTTTCATGACCCCTTTTTTTTATGGGTCATGGCGACACTAGGTATGTACATATGCCTAGACTCTCCATGACCCTTTAAAGTTCATGACCCCTTTTTTTAAGGGTCATGGCGACACTAGGTATGTACATATATATATATATATGTTTAAACGGACGTTGTGTCAACACATCTCGTCCAGCCATTCCAGGCCTGCTTCGAGCCGTCAGAGGTGCACCTCGACGCGGGAGTCGATGGAACCGCACGGGGGTTTGCGAGAGAGCGAGCGAGCGCAAGAATGCGTAGCAGGAAGTTAGGCGTGTCAGATCTTCCACTTCATGGGCATTGAGATTTGGGTATGGGTCAAAATTAAACCACCAGGGGACCGCAGGTCTTAGTCCATGTTTCCATTTACCAGGGATCCATTTTGGGTACCTATTTTTGACCCACAGCCATTTGCTGGTGGTTTTCGAAGGCGAAGAACACGGTTTCTTGGTCGCAATTCCCCTCCAAGAAAACAAGCTTGTCTTTATGGAGGGTTCCCGTTTGGAGGCACCAAATAAATACCGACAATACTTCCAAAGGAATCCTAGTCAAAATGCCCTAAGCCGGTACCATGCGAGATCAGGAATCCCCACGAACGGAATTTCATCATGAGCGAGGGGGTCCCCTGACAGAAAGGAGTTCCTACTAAAAAGAGACTTCTGATTAAGAACTGGGATGTTCAGCAACCAGTGAACAACACGTAAAAGCAATCTTTGGATGGAGTGACTTCACGAACACACTGAAGCAAGGGATTCCAAGCAAAGCCCGTCGTGGGGCTACAATTCTCAGACCTCCAGTTGCCATGGGAAAACCGACGCAAAAAAAGGCAGGGCCCTTTTTGTTTGGTAGTTGATTTCCAGGTGCAACCCGCTGGAACCCCTTCCAAAAGAAGCTGAGCACAGGTAAGGTCGCGGGAGGTCTAAGGATTTCCCTGAATCCAATGAAGCAAATCCACTCAGTGCCCGGCGCAAAGCATAGGAAGCGGACCTGGCGATGCTTGACGTTGATCACCGGCAAAAGGGTTAAGCTTTTGGTTTCTAAGTCCTAAGGGCATACCCCAAAAGGCCATACCTTGCCCCATGGCGGTGTGTCCATGCGATGTCCTAAACCCTTTGGAAAAAGCATCGCATGGCATCGCCAGCCGAGTTTGGAACCGAGAGCCATCCTGGGTGGGTTCGGGTGTTCGGGGGTCCCAGAACCCTCAAAGGGAAGTGACCAAATACAGCCGGGGAAGCTTTCCCAAGGGTGTTGCGCAAACTGGTCCCTTGAAAATAGCTGGTTCCCTCTTGGTGCCCCTTTAAGACACAAACCCCAGACGTGTCATCATTTGACATGTTGAAAATAAAGCTGCACTTGCAGCAGCGGAAGGCCACTGATCCACAAACATGGCGGAACACAACTCGGGGGCCATATAAGCCACCCGCCCAAACGCTCTGAAGCCAGAGTTGTGCCAAAGGCCAAACTGTTGGTCAAATAAGGCCTTGGCGCAGTCAGTCTTTGGGGACCCCGACCCCAAAAAGGCGAGTTTTCCTCTGGGTGCCCATGGTACCCTCAAAGAACATCAGCGCACATATTGGCCGGAGACCCGTTTCACTTTCGTCTGGTGTAAGAGTATGTAACGGGATTGGCAGGCTCGGGAGTTGGCAATGCCAAGCGAAGACCGTTAAGTTGCAATTTAAACCAGGGCTGGGGCAACTGTTTCGCATGATTCCCACCCATTGCTGGAACACTCGACTTTGGTTTTCCCTATCTGTTGCATGAGCGAAAATGGCAACCAACCACAATTAAAACCCAAATCCCGGGGCACAAACAATTTGGCCAACGCCCCAAGTTAAAACCAAGGAAGCTACCCCAATTTGCCCAAGTTCAAGCGCCAAGTTCTGCCAGGCGCCCGTTTTTCTCGCCCATTTCCCCAAGCATCGAAAGTAGTTTTTGACGCCTCGTGGACGATCGCGCGGACATGGAACCGTTCCGGCCTGGCCGGGCTGGGGGCGTTCAAGCGACATGCCGTGGATGGCTGCCGTGGATGGTCATTACCCAAAAGAAAGATTCGACTCATGACCAACCATTTTTAAAGGGTGATGGAGACTCTAGCTTGGCAGTTACAGGAGAATCATCCGAAACTGGGGTTTGTTAGGTGCAGGATTTCGTCCATCCACAGTACCTCCCACCCTTGTCACATGGAACTTGGCTGGGGTGGTGCTGGTTTTGACCATTTTCCTGAGGGACCGGGTCCCAACGTCAAGTTCCATGATGGGAGGGTACATCTGCTTCGAAACAGCCTTGTGGTTCCCCTTTCAACGGGGCCTTGATTGTCGGCCCGGAAAAACTACTGTGGATGGTTGCGAGTGGCAAATAAAATGAAACCATGAGAATGAATTCACAAGGATTTGGGAGAATTACGTTGGGGAATCATCAGAAACCAGGGATTCTGCAAGGTGGTGTGAAATGGATTCCGTCCATCAACAGTAGCTTAAGGGCCTTAAACGATCAGACCCGGCCCCCCTTCAGCACAGGAGGCTGTTTTCAAGCAATAGTGTAGTTGAACAAGTTACTATCAGGGCCCAAAAGGCTCGAATTGGTTTCGGGGTAGTGGCAAAATGCACAAGTGGGTCATGATCATTGGAGAATCATGTGTGTAACAATGTGGGAGACTTGAAGCGCTGGGCAACAGAAGCTTGCGGGAAACTGGACCCTTGCTGCGATACCACAGTGTGCCATCCCGATTTGCGGATCCTACAGTATTTTCCAAAACCTGAAGTACGGGATGCCCAACTGAAGGATCTACATCATGGTGCTTAAATGCTTCGGGACCTGCTTAGCCATGGTTATAACCCTCTTAGTAAGGCTGTAAGTTCCCTAGGTGGATTGTAGCCAGGGTTGCTCACCATTTGGCCGGGTCCCGGACCATCTAAGTGCTGCCATAGTGGGGTAACCAGGAGAAATATCAGGCTGAATGCCAAAGGCAGCTGTACTCAGAATGAGTGGACACATTGGGCTTCCCTTCAAAGCCCAAGTTGGTAACTTGCCCAAAGAAACCTATCTATTCCCCCTATTAACAAACACACACCCCCCCCCTATTACAAATAAATCCCCTCAAAAAATGTATCTTTTGTTAATTGGGGTTTTTGGGGTTGGGTTTTTCCTGCTTTTCCGACAATGTGAGGGTTCACATAGGATTTGGAGGAAATGGATTGAATTGTAAGGTCCGCGAGTAAGCGGTTTAATAAGGAAATTTGATGTATCATTCTATTTGTTTACCAGTTTACTGGTTGTTTGTTTGCAGCCAGGCAGGTTAATTAGCCAGCATGTACGGGAGAGAGACAGTCGAGGCTGGAAGCTTGCTAAAAGTGCCCCCTAATAAGGATTCCAAGACTTTAGTCTTGGTTTAGTATTGGCGCAATGGAAAATCAATTGTGCGGAGTGGAAATCTGGCCTTGGGCCCCGGATTTGCATTTATTATTAATGAGGGTCATTCATTAATAGGGGGAGGAGATTAGTTTCCCTTTGCTTTGCCTAGCAAAAACCTAAAATCTGTGTCCAAGCCGGAGTGGTTCACCTCGTGTACGCCATAGTGTGTGTACCTCTTTTCAGTGGAGCACTGATCACTTGCTACAAGTCGTGCTTTCCTACTCCACAATAAAATGCCGACAACATTAAACATGGAGTGCAACAGTGGCAAACGTGGCAAACTTGAGCATGTCATCAACTGCTCTCAACTCTAACATCCTAACAAAAGCATTGGTTCAAACATATGGCAAGTTCGACTTGGCGGCTTGCCAAGCCAGCAAGTCGAAATGTGACCCGAGAATTGCCGGGCTTCGGGCTGATTCCCTTAAGCTTCGCCCAAGAAAGCGGTACACCCGAAGGCCCTGGGCCATACTCCGAGTCAATTTCCGTGATGGGCTCAGCCACTTTGGTAGCACAAAAAGGCTTACCTAGAGTCTCCTTCTGACCCTTCAAAAATGGGGTCATGACCCCTGAATTTTGGTAATGACCCCATTTTTTTAAGGGTCATGGAGACTCATTACCCAAAATAATGGTTGGTCATAGACCCATTTTTAAAGGGTCAGAAGGAGACTCCAGGTAGTTCCTTTCACGCCTTTCACGCGTCACATTTCAGCATCCCTCTACTCGGTGGCTTCGACCCGATTCGGTGGTTTGGTCAAACGCTGGAGTCCCATTTGCCCTCTACAAGAAGGGCTTCAAATCCCCAGCAATCCAAGCCACCAATTATACAGCTCGATTTCGGGTTTGCCCATGTCACTTACATCGAATCTCCAGCCCCCGAAAAAAAAGCTGGAAACGTGAGCTGGACTGCGCTTCTGCTTGGGATTTCGGCTTTTAGGTGTTGGGATGTTGGAATCTTAGACTCTGCATCTGCAAAAAGTAAGTGAAGCCACAGTTCGGCTGAACATGGAATGAACCGCCCTTTGGTGGACCACCCGCAGTGTCATACATCACCTCCCGCCAGGAACGGTTCTTAGGGGCTCCTTCAGCGATGCCTCGAGTTCGTCGCGGAACGGACCCAGAGCTTTCTGGCCTGTTCCCCGCCAGCGGTCTAAAAGGCGCGCGGCCTGCAGTTGGGCCGTTTGGAGCTTTTCCCAAGGCACAAGGTCATTTTGCTGGCCTTTTTGGAACCGAAAGGTTTTCTCACCTGCAGATTAACATGGAGAACCCGAAACACCACTCTTCGCGTGTTCCATGCTCATGTTTGATTTGCTTGTTGGGGGGGGTGCAGGAACCTAAGAACACTATACCCTTGATGGATAAAAACTGGAACCCTGTCTCAACCAATTCAGGGTCGATGATTGTTTACTGTTCGAATGATCGTCCAACCAGTCCCAAAGTTTGCAATCTAGAAGAACACCACGAAGGAAAAACAGGGCCCCCCCCCCGTTTCCCCGCCAGTGGCAACTGGCATCATACAATAAACAACCCATTGAACCAAAACTAAGCCGGAGGAAGGGTACGGTTGTGGCAAAATAACCCATGAAACTCCAGCCCCTGTGTCCCTATGTCACTTTCACACGGGTTCCCGCCTTGCACATGTACCCAGAGGCTCCCGATGTATTTCGGGCCCTCAAGCAGCCAGGTTTTGAGCTAAGGCCGCCCGGCAACCTGGAACCTCTGGACCGGGGTGGCCATAGCAAAAGCCAGCTTTGCTTCCAATTGGTTACCCCTGGGCCCAAAATGGGTGGTTTCCTTGGGTCCTTTTCAAGCTCCCATTTGGTTAAGACCCCTAGGAAAACATGAAACATATTTCCAGTCGTGAAATCGATTCCCTTTCAAACCAGGGGAAAATAATGATATTCCTAAGCAAATGGAAGCTTGTCCAAAGAGAAACCCACAAAACAGAAACCATAAAACGAGCACCGCAGCTCTGGGACAACACCCAACACCCTTCGCATGCTGCCAAGCTTCAACTTCCGCCCTAGGCAGGCAGTGAAACATCGGAGCCGAGGGATGCCACGACCAGAAGAATACAAATGGGTGAAGCGTGGCAGGATTCCAACTCAATTTGGTGTGGCCTTACTCCTCCTTCACCAACCCCTGGAAAAAATGAAAATGTTTTCACTAATGATAGATTCCCTTTGAAACCAACAGGGGACTTTAAACATATTCTTAAGCAAATGGAAGCCAACAGAAATGAAACTGTGCCATCTGCTTTCCCCTTGGTGCATACCCTCTTCCCCACACTCAGGTTCAGGGTCGGAGGAATGAGTGATTGGCTCCCTGAAAACCCGAGAACCTCCCCTTATGGACAATCAGTCATTTGCAAGGCCTTCCATTGGTATCATAGAAGTGGCAAGTCCCACAGCCCTGGACTGCCCTCAGATCCCCCGCTAACAGTGACTGACTTTTACTGGGTTGCATGGAAACTACCACTAAACACTAAAAAGCTAAAAGGCTAAGGGGATGGCTGGGAGCCACCAAGATCCTAGGTTGAATCCAGTCCTTTAGTTTACACTTCACCTGCCTTGATGAAAAACTGGATGTGCAAAGTGGTGATGGGCTCATGCATAGCTTCATACAATCAGCCTTTAGCGTGCTGTTGGTTCCCTACAGGGAGCAAAAAGACAGCCCTGCAGCTGACTAATGCTTCGTGGCTGACTTGCCCAGTGCTCAGGGATCCACCTTGGCCAAATCTGACCAGCGTTTTACCCGAAAGTTTAGGACACTTCAGGCCACCTGTGGATCGAGGAAACCCGCACAATTTTGAAACCAGGGGACACCTTTTGTATCTGTTTGGTCTTTGCAAGGGAATCATCATTCCAGGGTTTCTTAGGTGGTGAAGGATTTCGCCCATCCACGGTACTAACACAAAATGCTCAAGCTTGCAAACTCAATAAATAAAAGACACACTACTTATCCTCCGCGGCTCCATTTTGTCTACCGGTTTGCTCAAATGAAGGCGTTCAGAAACTGAGACACCCCCTCCCCTCAAGTAAGAGCTTGTGGGGAATCCCAAGGCTGTTGGTTTCTGCTCTTGAGGCCAACAACAAGGGGACCACCCGGCTTGGCACAGGACTGGAAAAAATAAACACCCCCCCCCCCCCCCGCTCCTCCCCCCCCCAACGCCCCCCGCCCCACCCCGCCAACCCCCCCCCCCCGCCCCCCGCCAACCCCCCCAAAATTAAAAAAACCAAAAAAACACACACACACACACACACACACACACACACACACACACACACACACACACACACACACACACACACACACACACACACACACACACACACACACACACACACACACACACACACACACACACACACACACACACACACACACACACACACACACACACACACACACACACACACACACACACACACACCCCTGCCAACAAAAAACAACACCCAGATCAACTCCCAGAGATCGTCTCAGGTCCCGTTTCGCCACTTCGCCTGGGCATCGGGTCATTGGCCAAGGCCTCATCCAAGGCCTCCGGCCGAGTCCGAGTCTCCGAGCGGGCGGACTCCGACTGCCCCCTTTGACCATAGGCGTCCTAGGGGAAAAAGATGGGTTTCCCTGGTAGATGAAATTAAGCCACCAGGTAAACCGGGAATCGCCATCGATTTTTCGACCACCTTCTACCTAGTTTTGGGTAATGACCCCATTTTTAAAGGGTCATGGAGACTCTAGGTATAGGGGAAATAGATGGGTTTCCCTCGTAGATGATTAAACCACGTTTACCAGGAATTGCCATCTATTTTTTCTGCCAAAACAACCAAAAAGGACACCTATGCTTTGACCCCCCTCAAAAAATGCGGAAATGCAACCAGGGAGCCCAGCTAAAGAGCCAGATGAGCTCGCGCTACCAAGACGAGCTTGCTGTAAAACAGGCAGACTAATTTAAATATGGGTTCAGCCGTGGCGAAAAAGGCAAAAGACTCACGTTCACGTCACTGGAACCAAAAACCCTGACATTTGCTCAGAGACATGGCTCCACTTGCTATGGATCTGAATCAGCGCTATTCAGCGCTAACGTGATGCATGCCGGGCTGCATCCCTGCCAGGATAGCCCCTAGCGCCAGCCGCATCTGCATCCTGCGCATGAAGACCAGGCAAGAAAATAAGATCAGTGACGACACAATAGGCCACGCTAAAATCGGCTTTGTCTCAAATTGGGGAAACCCAAACTCTTTGCCGCTTGCTTAGCCACCATTCCTGGAGCCACAAGCTGCGCCCGCCGTTCGAAGCCGAGCCGCGTAACAACAAGGTTCACAAAGGTGAGCATGCCGCCTGATCCTTCTCCACCATTTGCTTAAGTCCCCTGGAAAAAATGAACATATTTCCAGCAGTGATGGATTCCCTTCAAAACCAATTTCCCCAGGGTGTTTGGTGGTTTTCTAGAAAGAAGGATCCCTGGAAAGAATGGGGAAGTTACCCCTATATTTTTTTGAGGAATCGTTGAAGGGCGGTTTGGCGGGCACGGGGCCCAACATTGGAGGGTAACGTGCGCCTTGTCTCCCTACCTGTTGCCCCCAAAAATAGTGAGCTGGCGTCCCATGCTTTCTGGGCCGATGAACTGGCGATCTCAATCCCCATGAGGGTCCACATAGAGCTTTGTCTTACTTTTAGGCGGGCATTGTCAACACTTTGCATTTGGCATTCTGCCTGGCTTGTTTGTTGATTGCTGTTGTTGTGTGGCGAGCTCATGTGTGTCCCCTACTCTGTCCACATGGATAATGGCCCCTCCGCCAAAAACAGCTAGGTTAGTGAATGCTGCATCGGGAGGTGCGTGACTCACCTCAAGCCAAAGCCCATTGGCTGCGGGAAAACTGTTGGGGCTGAGCAGGTATGGGGTGGCTGGTTTTGAAAAGAACGATGGCTGAAAAGAATGGGGAACCAATCCCTAGAATACAGGGAAGTAGCTTCCCCTTCAAGTGACGAAAGACTCCTCGAGACGGGCCACCATTCTTGTGGGTTCGCCACAGTTTGGACCGCTTTCACGGCTGACAATCGGGTCCCCAAAGAAATAGCGCTTCCCTCTGACACCTGCTCATGGTCCTCGTGAAGGCCCAAAAGCCTCAACTCGAGCGGCAAAGCAGTAAAGGGGAAGTGAGCCATCACTCGACGGGAACTTGAAGGTTGAGCCAGGAACTGCTAATCCCAGGCTAAAAATAGAACTCAGCAACCGAGAAAATACGTTGGATGGTTGCGACATCCGCTTCTCGCACCGTTCAGAAACCCAAAAATCATGATCCCCCTGCAAATGCCAACATTGAAAAGGTTTCCCATGGTGTCACAGTGGGGGAAGTGCAGGCCGGGGTGAAAGTAGACGCCCACAATTGCACATGTTGGCCCAGCCATCTCCACGCAAAGGGAAGTGTGCCACCCCCAGGTAACCAGGAGTTCGGTCATTAACTGGCGTAGTGTCAAGGACAAGTTCGTCATGTATGGTGCACTTGGGGTCGTGCAAGATACCACTGTACAATCAAAGGCCATTTTTGTGATTGGATCTATGCAGCCATACATGTTATAAAAGAACGGCAGTATATAAACCCCGTACAGAAGGCTTGTATACTGATCATGGCTGGCAACTGTTGCTTCATATGGATCCACACTTGTAGAATCCATCCCAGAAATGTGTGCTGTGTACATTCTATACATGTATATATATATATATATATTATATATATATTATATTATATATATATACACACCCAGACCCCCCCCCCCCCGGTCATGGGAAAAAAGGCACACGTTTCTTGGCACTTGAGATTAAAGTGAACCTCCTCAACAAAAATGAACAAAGGAAGCGATCCAGTGGAGGTGTGATGAAAATGAGGAGATACACCCAGGTTCGGCCCATGTCCCTCACCAAACACTTCAGAACATCTGAAGCGACGGGCATCCCAAAGGCCTGAGCTCCCGAAGTCCAAAGGAGCCCTGACAGATCCCTTCTGCCACATCCAAGTGGTTCATCCCTGTCCATATGGGAGTTCCTCAGTTCCTCTTTGCACCGAAACTGGCCCTAGCCTCCTCCCCAACTTCCAAGACTGTGGTTGCTCCCAAAAGAGGCACAACCCAGAGAAGGGTCCAAGAAGGAGGGGGGTCCCTAAGGCCAAGGAAGTAAGGAACCGGGTCTCAACTAAGCACTCTTGATAAGAGTTGCTTCCCTACTATCGCCAAAAGTTCTCAGCATGTCAACCTGAAGGGAATCTGCGTGAGGAAATCCATGCAAGTAAATCAACCATGTGGCTGCGATACTGCAGCCCAAGCAGAACCAAACAAAATATGAGGAAAAGCCCTGCAAACTCTCAAAATACAAACACCCCTCCAACCCCTCCGACCATAAAACTCTCCAAAGAACCCCCTCCAATTAATCAAGCATAAAGAGGTTCATCATTTGCCCCCCCACGACCCACAGCCCGCCGCCCATTCGTTCCCTGGACCGCAGCTTGGGCCCCGCGCGTGCGCTCCACCACTTTGCTCTCGCGGAGGCCCTCCATGACGTAGTTCAGCTGCTGGTCCTGAGGGCCACTTGGGTTATACCTGACCAGCCTGACCAGATAGCTTTGGCCAGCTGGAAGTAACCTTTACCAAATGATTTGTTTGCTAAGGGCCGCTGGCTATTGCAGGGCGATGTTCGGCCAAGTTTTCGTGAGGCACTTGTGTTCCCCGGAGACGCCCCCCCCAAAACCCGGAAAGGGATCGGATCGGAATCGGATCCCAAAAGAGGTGACCTGTCCAGCACGTGCTTCACCTCCACCAGCGCTTGCCGGCTCTTTGGCCCTTCCGCCTTGGACGCGTCCAGGCCTCGGCTCGGAGCGGAAACGGAAGTCCTTGGATCGCACCATTCGCTTGGTCGCACTGCTAGGGGGAGCCCCCGCAATCTTGGCATGGGACGCCCAATCAAATGGGTGGTTTCCTCGGTTCCTGAGTGGCATGGCCCCAAAAGAAGTACCCGAACTCGATATGTTGCACCAGAATGTGATCCTTCCAAGAAGTTTAAAGTTCAGAACTCAGGAAGTGAGTGGTTCGTTTCGAGCAAAAACCAACATACACGTCATGACGATACAGGGGGGGAACAACACCTGGTTGGTTTCTTTTGAGCTTCCCTTCAAACCAAACCAAACCAAACAGGGGTAACCGGGGTAGCTCAAAAGGGACCCAGTTGCGGCCTTTGGGAATGAACACTGTACATGAACCAAATCCATGCCATCAGTTCGGATGTGCAACAGCCTGGCAAGATTGGGGAGGACCACCTGACTGGTGCGAAAACATATCTATCCGTGCACAGCAGTGGGGTGCTTTAAAGGAGATGTCTACGAAGGGAACCTAGGGGTAGTCAAGCTTGCTGAGGACATGCATTTTGACAGGGCTGCGAACGAAGGGATGCTGAAAAGGGGTCAAAGGATTGATCAAGTCAGCGTGGGGATGTCCAGGAGGAAACATTGCTACAAGCTTAAGGGCATACCTCCAAGAACAAATACCTTTGTATAGGGGGGGTGGGGGGCAAGCATCTTTCAAATGCGGGCTTGTCGGTGTTGCTTCAAATTTGGGGCCGATGAATGGTTAGGCTTCCTTTTTTTTTGTTGAAACATTGTTCCAGTTCGTGCAACGCCGCAAAAGAATCAACGGGCTCTTTCAAAGGGGCTGAAAAGGGCCAACCACCTTTGTTGGCAAGACAGCCCAACCCACAGTGCTCCAATCCGGTAGTCTAAAACAGACCATCCTATCTGGTGCTTCCAGGTGACGCCAACGTTCGAGGTCAACCTGACAGGGTCGCACAATCGAGCACGCGGTATTCAAGCCAATGGGCCCCAAAGAAATCCGCTTGCCCGGGATGAATGAACCATAATGAACCCTATCCGGGTGTGTCTTTTTTTGGCGCAGCCACCAAAGTGGTTTGCCCCACCCAAAAGAGGGTTTCCCCCAAAGGCAGCGAGTAGGAGTCGCTCCATTTGCTTCGGTTGTCCTTATGTTTGCGGACCAGTCATGCCCCAAATTTCTGGTAGATCCAACAAGGCAGAAGCTTCGGGGCGGATCGCCTGAAGAAAGAAACAGGCGCAAGCTACCCCGAAACGAAGCGACAAGCACCGAACCACAAATCTAGGGCTACCTTCCAACCATTATATTCAGGAATCCTTGTTTCTAGAAACCCTTTGGAAACCCATGGAACACGGCTGGTTGTTGAAAGAACGATGGTTGAAAGGAATGGGGAATCAACCCCTAGAACAAAGCATGAACTCACAAACAATTTCATGGCATCACGCACAATTGATGTTGGCTGGCTGCAACAGGGGCTATGAGTTTGTAGATACGTTCATGCGCTTCGCCTTTGACTCAAAGTGGGAACAAACTTGGTTTGGTGCTGAACAATCTTTGCTTCCCGTCCTTATGAAGTGTCAATCCACGTGTGGGTCATATTCAAAGGAAGCTCATGCCAAGGCAATTGCAAACCGCACCGGACAAACACATGTTCTCCATACGGGCCTATTCGCTCCTCCCGATTCGCCAAGTATGCCAAGTGGTTTACGAATGAAGTTCAGCCTTGCTGTTGAAAGTGTAAGATTTGTCGTTGCTTCATCTTTGGTCACCCTATGCGAGCGACACTCTGGCTCTACTTCTCCCATTCTCAGGGTCCCTCTTCAGAATAGCAGTGCCCAATAGATCCATTTACCTGCATAGTGGGTAACCAAGGGACACCCTGCACAAACCAACGGGACAATAGCTTGTTACCTACCATAAGGGTGACTGGGCTCCACTGCTCAAATGCTATCAAGTGGCGCGTAGTGGGACCTAATGGATTCAACCCATGCAGGTGAAGAATCCGTACCCTGGTGCCCCACTAACATGAAACCCAGAAGTTCCCTTGAATAGGAACATGGTCTTTGAGGGATCTCCGGTCAGGGTTCCGTGCGAAGGTACGTACGCCTTTCCTTTCACTCTAACATGGTGGTGTGGGTTTGCTCTTGCGTTCCCTTTTCCTCATTCCACAAATACCTTCAAACCCCAACTCGCTCAACTTCCCCAGGTCAAAAGGGAAATAAATCGCCTCTTTGGGTTTGGGCCATGTTCGGCGGCACACAAAGCTTGGGCCTTTGCTTGGCCAATTCCGAAAGTTTGACGACTCGTCAGCTTCCCAATTGGTGGTTTGGAGCCAATTCGTGGGTTTCGTGCACCATCAAGAACCAAGGGCTCAAGTCCGAATCCAAACCGCCAAGCCCCAAACCTCCAATTAGGGGATTTAGGGGTTACCCAAGGTGTATGGCTCGGGAATAACTCGCTTCCTGAGTGGATTGGTCAGCAGAAACACCAAGCTTCAGCCATGGTGCCAGCAGCGCCGCCCGCTGCTTCTTCAGCTGGCGCCGCCGCTTCTGCGCGAGTTCCAGGAGGCCTCCGATCGCCGATCGCCGATCGCTGGAAGACATCTACGCCTCGCCCGCAAGGCCTCCCGGGGTGTCCAAAGAGGGGTAAACATGCCAGAAACTGATGGGGAAAACTCCACGTCCGCTGATATGCGATTGTTTCTGAGTTGTTCATAGGGTTTCAGCCGTGTCAGGTGGTGCAGGATTTCACCCATCAACAGCACTGCCGCGTAGATGTCTTGGAAGGACCCCACAACATGCCACCCACCCGAAGCTACAAATTGGGGATCACGAACATAGACCACTTTCCAACCATTGGTACGGTAGCAAAAGACTTTGCTTTTTGAACCCATCTACTTAAACATGAACAGAACCAACAACAACAACAATAAAAAACTAGACCACGGTTGGCCCGAAAGCAGAACATCGCAAGGTCGGCCCAACGCTGCAGGATGCGTTCTTTTTCCCTACACTTCGTGAAGCAAGCGCGAGACAGCGCAGGCAAGGTGCTCTGCGCAAACTGGTCGGTGCAAGTTGGTCTGCGCAAGTTGCTCTACGCAAGTTGCACTGTGCAAGTTGCTCTGCGCAAGTTGCTCCGCGCAAGTTGCTCCGGCAAGTTGGTCCCTGCAAGTTGCTCTGTGCAAATTGCGCTCCCTGCAAGTTGCTCTGTGCAAGCTGCTCTGTGCAAGTTGCTCTGTGCAAGTTGCTCTGCGTAAGTTGCTCTGCGCAAGTTGCTCTAGGCAAGGCGCTCTGCGCAAACTGGTCGGTGCAAGTTGGTCTGCGCAAGTTGCTCTGTGCAACTTGCTCTGCGCAAGTTGCTCTGCGCAAGTTGCTGTAAAATGCAAGTTGCATCTTGCGACGCCCGCCCGCGGACCAGGGAGGAATCGAACCCGCGACCCGCCGGTTCCGGGAGCAGGCGCGCGAACCACGAGACAACTCCCGAGGACCAGTTCGAACAACAAAAGTCGCAAAAAACCTCGAGTTTTTGCACCTCGACCACGCCGATTCCCGCAGAGGGTTGCGCGAGCACCGCAGAAATCGCAAAAAACCATGGGTTTTTGCACCTCGACCACGCCGATCCCCGCAGAGGGTCGCGCGAGCAGGTTAGAAATCGCAAAAAACCATGGGTTTTTGCACCTCGACCACGCCGATCCCCGCACGCACCGCAGAAATCGCACCATGGGTTTTTGCACCTCGACCACGCCGATCCCCGCAGAGGGTCGCGCGAGCACTTTAGAAATCGCAAAAAACCATGGGTTTTTGCACCTCGACCACGCCGATCCCCGCAGAGGGTCGCGCGAGCAGGTTAGAAATCGCAAAAAACCATGGGTTTTTGCACCTCGACCACGCCGATCCCGCAGAGGGTCGATTTTCGTGTAGTGTCGTCGGCACTACCCCGCCGCCCTAAGAAGAGATTTTAACTCCTCGCAAGTCAATTGCACTTGACTCCTTGCACTTGCAACTTGCACTTGACTCCTTGCTTGTTTCAAGGAGTCATTGCAAGCAGTCATTGCAAGGAGTCATTGCAAGGAGTCATTGCAAGGAGTCATTGCAAGGAGTCATTGCAAGGAGTCATTGCAAGGAGTCATTGCAAGGAGTCATTGCAAGGAGTCATTGCAAGGAGTCATTGCAAGGAGTCATTGCAAGGAGTCATTGCAAGGAGTCATGAGAGCCATTGCAAGTTGCAAGGAGCCAAGTGCATGGAGTCAAGTGCAAGTCGCAAGTGCACGGAGTTAAGTGCAAGTTGCAAGTGCAAGGAGCCAAGTGCAAGGAGCCAAGTGCAAGGAGCCAAGTGCAAGGAGCCAAGTGCATGGAGTCAAGTGCAAGTTGCAAGTGCATGGAGTCAAGTTGCAAGTGCAAGGAGTCAAGTGCAAGTTGCAAGTGCAAGGAGTCAAGTGCAAGTTGCAATCCTTGCCATGACTCCTTGCAATGACTCCTTGCAATGACTCCTTGCAATGACTCCTTGCAATGACTCCTTGCAATGACTCCTTGCATGACTGATTGACTTTCATGATGATGATTCCTTGCAATGACACCTTGTAATGACTCTCATGAGAACAATTCAAGTGAACCCAGCGGAAGAACCCTTCGCCATGCTTTCGGGAAAAACATTGTCAATAACAAAAACACATGCCAAGAACAGTGAAGATCATATGCCTTTCCTCTGGAGAGGGCACCTTTGGAGAGGCCAATGCATGGCTGGCGGTGAGAACATGGTCACTTTGGATTGCTAAATGCTGTGGGCCGCCAGCTTTGCGTGTGAGACAGTGGTTTGACTGGTCATACCCACGTAAAGGCTGTAGACTCTCTGATGACCCTCTGGTTATTCAGCACGTTGCGAACTTGCAAGAATTCCCCAACTGGCAAGGACTATTCTCGCAGTCAGCACGTGACTTTCTCCAGGTCTCGAACTCACTTCCCCGGCTTGACTCGCCACTTACATCTGCTCACCCTCAAATTGTCTTCCAAACACGATTGGAGTCCAGGAGTGGCTGAAAAAAAACCTGCACCACCTAAGAAGCCCTGGCATGCTCAGAAACCCCTTCAAAAACCAACCAAACCTCATGGTTCCAGCAACTGTGGCTGAACAAAAACACCTGCACCACCCAAGAAACCCTGGCATGCTAACAACCGCCTGCAAATGCCAACCAAACCTCATGGTTCCAGCAACTGTGGCTGAAAAAAACAGCACCACCTAAGAAACCCTGGCATGCTAAGAAACCCCTTCAAAAACCAACCAAACCTCATGGTTCCAGCAACTGTGGCTGAAAAAAACACCTGCACCACCCAACAAACCCTGCCATGCTAAGAAAAAACCCTGGCAAATAATTACCAGCCAAACCTCATGGTTCCAGCAACTGTGGCTGAAAAAAACACCAGCACCACCCAAGAAACCCTGGCATGCTAACAACCGCCTGCAAATGCCAACCAAACCTCATGGTTCCAGCAACTGTGGCTGAAAAAAACACCTGCACCACCCAAGAAGCCCTGGCATGCTAAGAACCCCCTGCAAATGCCAACCAAACCTCATGGTTCCAGCAACTGTGGCTGAAAAAAACACCTGCACCACCCAACAAACCCTGGCATGCTAAGAAAAACCCCTGGCAAATAATTACCAGCCAAACCTCATGGTTCCAGCAACTGTGGCTGAACAAAACACCAGCACCACCTAGGAAGCCCTGGCATGCTAAGAAACCCCTTCAAAAACCAACCAAACCTCATGGTTCCAGCAACTGTGGCTGAACAAAAACACCTGCACCACCCAAGAAACCCTGGCATGCTAACAACCGCCTGCAAATGCCAACCAAACCTCATGGTTCCAGCAACTGTGGCTGAAAAAAACAGCACCACCTAAGAAACCCTGGCATGCTAAGAAACCCCTTCAAAAACCAACCAAACCTCATGGTTCCAGCAACTGTGGCTGAAAAAAACACCTGCACCACCCAACAAACCCTGCCATGCTAAGAAAAAACCCTGGCAAATAATTACCAGCCAAACCTCATGGTTCCAGCAACTGTGGCTGAAAAAAACAGCATCACCTAAGAAGCCCTGGCATGCTAAGAAACCCCTTCAAAAACCAACCAAACCTCATGGTTCCAGCAACTGTGGCTGACAAAAAACACCTGCACCACCCAAGAAACCCTGCCATGCTAAGAAAAACCCCTGACAAATAATAACCAGCCAAACCTCATGGTTCCAGCAACTGTGGCTGAAAAAAAGCAGCACCACCTAAGAAGCCCTGGCATGCTAAGAAACCCCTTCAAAAACCAACCAAACCTCATGGTTCCAGCAACTGTGGCTGAAAAAAACACCTGCACCACCCAAGAAGCCCTGGCATGCTAAGAACCCCCTTTAAATGGCAACCAAACCTCATGGTTCCAGCAACTGTGGCTGAAAAAAACCAGCACCACGTAAGAAGCCCTGGCATGCTAAGAAACCCCTTCAAAAACCAACCAAACCTCATGGTTCCAGCAACTGTGGCTGAAAAAAAACAGCACCACCTAAGAAGCCCTGGCATGCTAAGAACCCCCTTTAAATGCCACCCAAACCTCATGGTTCCAGCAACTGTGGCTGAAAAAAACCAGCACCACCTAAGAAGCCCTGGCATGCTAAGAAACCCCTTCAAAAACCAACCAAACCTCATGGTTCCAGCAACTGTGGCTGAAAAAAACACTTGCACCACCCAAGAAACCCTGGCATGCTAAGAAAAACCCCTGGCAAATAATTACCAGCCAAACCTCATGAACTCGCCATGGCTTCATTTCGCGGGGCGAGAGTTGAGCAGGTCGCAACCGTCCGCGTTCCACGTTTTACCTTGCTATTGTGTTCATGTGGAGGGGAAAAAAAGAAGAAGCCTGGCAGGCCTAGGGCCCAATGCGCATGTGTCAAAATCGGGTTTTTGACTGCTGGTGCAACAAATGCAGGGAACTGGAGAACTGGAGAAAAATGAACCACGCACTGGCCGGAGGGCCCCTTATGTGGCGTCAAAATCGGGTTTTTGGTCCGGAGGTGCGAGAGTTGCAGGGAATGCGAAAAGGATGACCCTCAGAAAAACCATGCCCGAGTTTGGTTTTTTCAAGGGACTCCCCAGGTCCATTTCTCAGTTTCCTTCTGGTTTCAGCTGAAACCAAGAAGAAAAGGACGCATTCCGCCCAGGTTTTTCCTTCTGCGCTTCCCTTTTCCGCCTTTGTCCTCGTCCTTTCCGGCGCGAGTGGTCTCCGCCTGGGCTTGGGGCCCCGGCCGCTGAACTCGGAACTCACCTAGGAATCGCCCCTTTGAAAAGCGAATGTCTGCAGGTTATTTGGATATGCTTCAAGAGAAGTGAAAAGGCTACGGACCAAGACTCGAAAAGAGCTTAACACTTTGTTCTAGGTACGAGAGTCCACTTGTTTGGAGGAACAGTCTGGCGGTCACGGGTTTGGGGTGGGCCTGTGACCCAATAAATGCTGTCCATTCGCAGCTTTGGGACCTAACGGCTTCTCTTGGCACCCTCTTTCCAAGTGGACCAGGGAGTTCCCAAATTGAAAGTAGTCTTCCAGATCCCTCCTGTCAGCCTCCACGATTGGGAGGCAGTTGCAGAAAGTGGCAGCATGTTTTTTTTGCTCCACCAAGATGTCCCAACTTCCTACCCAGAGTCTCCATGACCCTTCAAAAATGGTTGGTCATTACCCAAAATATTGGGTCATAGACCCATTTTTAAAGGGTCAGAAGGAGATTCCAGGTACACTTCCAGAGCCTGAAGTATGGGATTTGCGAGGAGTGGATTCTTATTGGGGCCAAGGGCGCGCCTGGGTGGTCAGCATCGGCTGCGCCTCCGGCCAAGCCTGCAGAACATGAGCCAGCCACGCATGCGAACCATACCCTGGATGGATGAAATCTGCCACCAGGAAATTAAAAAACCATGGTTGAAACCACAAGGTTTGAAGTTGGTATTTGCAGGGGAGTCGAATTATTCCATGGGTTTCTTAGGCGTTGCAGGATTTCGTCCATCCCCAGTATTCGCCCGTCATGGCCGTCTTCTTCAAGAATCGCATCTTGCTCCCTGAGCGGATGGGCCAAACAAAAAGTCTGCACTACCACTGAAGTGGTCTCCCAAAAAGTTTTCAGTCCAGGAACTCAGGAAGCGAATCTTTCTGTTCATCGGTTGCTTAAAACTCCGCCTCAATGGACCTGTGAGCCCATCGATCGCCCCAGGCCTGCGGCTTAAGGGTCGCCACCAGCATCTGCTCAATCTCTGCGTCCACCGCCGGGTCCGTGACTTTGAAGGAAGCCTTGGAAAGTTGCCACGGGCGAAGACAAGCATGAAATTGTGCAGAGAGATGTTGCGTTCAGGGTTTCATTTCTTGGCTTAATCCAAATGATGGCTCAACTAGTCCAAACAGGGGTCCGGCTGGTTGTGTGGGGTGCCCCATTGGTCCTCGTGCAGTGCTGGACCTCATAGAACGGTTACATGAAGCTTCCGCACGGCTTCCCCAAAATGCTCAAGAGATGCTTGATTTGGATGGCATTGGGTGGTTACTTCACACCCCAGGCTCCTGCAATTCCTCCTTCCTCGATGTTTCGCCCGTTTTCTACCTCCAAAGTGGACCGCGGCAGTGCCCAGCCCCAAACCTAGAATGTATATACATGTGCTCCACCACCAAAGCAGCAGCAGTATCAGTCCAGTCTAGCTAGCGGTGGCCCCGTTCACCATGGTCACCGCAAGGACAATACTGGATAAATCATAATACTTCGACCCAGAATAAGGGTCCAATTTGAAAGGAACCGCCATGGAACAATTAACAATTTACATGTTTTTGTCTTGGTTTGCTTGAGAGAAAGCTAAAACAAATAACGTGCCACCCAGCACCCAGACACAGTGGAAGTAGGGACGTTAACAGGAAGCTTCAACGCAACGGAGAGCCCAGGCAAAGGCAAGACCCGCGCCTGCATGCCTGGCTCCTCTGCCTCGCGAACGAGTGGTCGGTTTTTCTTGGCCAAGCCTGACATTGGATGATCCGGGGCCAAGCAGGATGGGAACCACCACCTGCTGCCCTAGATACGCTTTAAAATGCATAAAACAAAAATGCACGGGGCACCTAGGTCCCCCCCTCCACGCATTTTTCTGGAATGGGGGATATCAAAAGAAAGAAAGTCAATTCATTAATCTGAGTTAAAGTCTACAAAGGAGCCTTCATGGGAGAGCTCGCTTGCCCCGGAGCTTCGGGAAAGCTTCATCAGACTGATGGGTCCCAATGAAACTGCTGCTTCTAGCAGTCCAAGTAGATGACTGTGGGTGGGACATATGGATCCAAGAGTGCTTCACATCTGTGAGCGGCGGAACGGCAAACTCTGCCGTGGAAAATGAGCGAGTCCCCCCGTCATGAACCCCAAAGTTGACCATAGACTCACTTGCCCAAAGGACCCATAAATCAAAGCTTAGCCTTTTGGGGGCCATGACTAAGCATAGTTCTAGGAGATTGATTCCCCATGATTTTCAACCATCGTTCTTTCCAAAAGCCGGCCGTTCTCCCTGGGTTTCCGGAGGTTTTCTAGAAAAAAGGATCCCTAGAAAGAATCGGGAAGGTACCCCTGGAATAGTTACCAAAATAAGAAAAAAACAAAAGGTCAAAAGGTCGATCCAGTGAGCTGGCTACATGTTCACCTCATTTGTCGACCTCCGGAAGAATGAGGCATCCTCTGAGGGAGATGGGGGCACGATACCTCTCACGGCACATTGCACATTGCACCATGCATACTGTAGCTTCAATATATAGGGATATGCATAGTATACATGTAATATGTTCTCTTCTTTTTTGTAAAGTATCCCTACGCTGCTTCTCAATTGAATTCAACTTTTATTCATGTAGCATCTATGACGAATTCAGGGCTTCTTGACCCCCATCAGCCTTTATTTGAGGCTTATTTACTCTGTAGGGGCAAGGTCCAAACACCTTTGTTAGGGGCGCCCAATGCATGCCAAACAAGTGGACACGTGCCACTGGCCAATTGGATGCAGCAAGCCGGCAAGTTGCCACCCGCCTCGGGCGAGACGTCTGGGGAGAAGTCAACGCACCTAAGCAAAAGATCGACGCGCCGAAGCTACCTGAGCACCAGGCCATGCCATGCAACCTTACCCTCCATTTGCGTAGGCCCCCGGGACAAATTAATCATATGTCTCGTGATGGCACATGTTCTTGGGGATTCTCTTGAGCAAATGGGAGCTTACCAAGCCCGTTTCAGAGAAATACAGGGTTCCTTATAGTTCCCTGGAGGCATCACAGGACTGAACAACCTCACTGGACATGGCCAAACAAGTAATGTTGAAAGTTAGAACCAGCCAAAATGGACACAAAGGAGGACGAAAGGTTTCGCCAACAACTGTCAAAGAAGACTGTTGTCATGTGCCGCGGGTGTGCCCCTCACGCCACCCGCTTGGAAAACAACCCTATTCAAGCAACACACACACACACACAACACGAGTTGATGATACCTAAAGGTTCGACTAAAGAGCGGCCAAACCGGAAACGAGAAGTGCGGTCTACTTCGGGCTGCATCATAGTAGGTGCCTAGTAAACCTTCTAGGGGGGAACTAAAGACAAATACGGCCAAATAAGGTTGGAGGGGTGCAATGGGAACCCTGGATTGGTAAACCAGTGGTTGATTTTGATCGAGGGGTGTCTTTTCTTCGTGCGGCTTCAGACCGCTGAAGGAGAAAACCCCCCAGCCCCCCTATGTGTTCTACTTGGATCCGTCAGAAGGTGCCGGCCCCATCCGTTCGCCCAGGCGCCGACTGGGTGATGACGCAGCCTTGTCAAGGGGCAGCTCCTCTTTGGGCCGAGTGCTCGGCCAGGTGCCTGGCAAGGCTAAGGGCATCCAGTACCTGGAGATGGTACTGTGGATGGACCAAATCCATGTCGCACCACCCAAGAAACAATGGTTGGAAGCATGGTTTGTTACGGTATTTACAGGAAAATCATCATTCCCAAAATTTCCTAGGTGGTGCGAAACGGATTTCGTGCACCACGGTAGTTTTGGCTTGGTGTCAACAGGGCTAGTGAGTGCCGGTAAGGAACCTCAGGTTTTGGGAGACCGGGAGCGGGCCCTTTCGGCGAGAAAATCGCGGCTTAGGGAGCTCAGGCTTGTCTATCGCTGTGTCCACCATCTGCATTTTTTTTCAGCCACCAGGGGACCAGGAATTGGACCGCAGACTTTGAGTCCCTATCTCCATTTACCTGGGTTCCATGTTGAGGTTACCCCATTTTTCGACAGCCATATGTATTGTTTTTCCAGCACTCCAGTGATTTCTCCTATGCGGATCCGTGCGCACGGTGGAATCCGGTGCTTCTGATACCCTATGCCTTGTCCAGATTCTGCCCGTATAAGGCTACGTGGCAAAACAGGGGACCCCACGGTGGGTGTCCCTGTGATTTCCCGGTAAACCAGTGCCAAAGAACGGTCACTTTGCGTTTTACGCATCGAGGGCACCATTTTCACCTGGCTCGGAGCCTTTAGGGGCTCATCCTGCAGACCAACAAACATGAACCAACCGGAGATGCTAGGAGCAGTCAACATGTCGAGTGGCTTTCAAATCGTGTCATTTTCCCTTTCAGTCCCCATTTACAAACAAGATTCGTTGGACTAAACAGTTTTGTTTTCTTTCTTGAAACCCCATTCGGTTGGTGGTTCTGACACTTTAGACCTCGGGCTACCCAGCCAAAAGGTAGTCACCCTTTGGATTGGCTCAAAAAGGGTAAGCTCCTGGGCGAGTCAATGGCAAGATCCAAAAGGGGGTGGACGGCGGGAGGTTTGTGCTTGTTTTGCTTGTTCCCAGCGTTGCAGTGCTGGAAATATGTCTGTGAAGGTTTTCACCAGCCAACATGCTGTATGCAAACCAGACTGCAGAATCGCTACATCAAGCTGGACTCAAGTCTGGGCTGTCACAAGTTTAACTTTTCCATGGGTTAAATGGAAACCCCCACTAAACCCGAAAACCCAAACATCTAAGGGGAACCGCCGAGTAGTGGCAGGCTCAGGGAAAACGCCCCCCATCTCGGTCCTGACCTCCTCGCAACATCTCGCGGGTGCCTGCGGGGAAAGTTGGGATCCGTTGGCCATGACTTAGGCCTCTAGCGTTGCCCACACTCACCAAAACCTGAGCGCGAGACCCCCCCTCCGTGTTTCACAACTACCCCCCCCTCAAAAGTGCAACAACAAATGACATTTCATTGGGGTAACCCCCCCCCTCAAATTACAATTCTTAGGGGGGAATATTCTCGAGAGGCGGGTGAACGAAAGCTCGCCCAGCCACCTCAACGACATGTACGACTCAGGAGTTGCTGGGAAATTCGGACTAGCAATTTCTTAGAGAACTCCCGCTAGCATAGCTAGCTTTCGTGATTCGTCAGCCAACCAGTTCATTGATAGGGTGTTAGTTCCCCTCCAAAAGTGATGATTCCCCACTACCCCCGGGGACTTCCCCCCCCCATGTCATAAACTGGGGTGGATCAAAATATGGGGTCAACATTCAAACCTGTCATTGCTTGGCCGGTTCATCGGAGAACTGTCCAGAGACCCTCAGGGCAAACTCTGGTTCGTCCGGTCCCGTCCCATGAACCTGTGAAAGCTTTCGACAAAACGTCGCAAGCCTTGGGAACTGCAAGCGTGGCTTAGTTGATCTCGCGGCTGACGGACAACCAAAACGCCTTCGCTGTGACCAGCAAGGTCTTTGGTTCCTTAACAAATTTACCGCTTTAAAGGCCCATGCCACTGTTTCTGCCAAAACACTGGAAATAGCAGCAACGGTTGAGCCATTTTTTCCGCCAGTATGTGTGAAAACCAGGCCCGAACCCCGGAACCACCCCCAAGCCGAGCCAGAGAGCCCTCCCTCCTGCCTTCCAGCTCGGCTTCCTTCTGCCGCAACAGGCGCTCCGTGTTTCGCAGGCCCTCCTTCTCCTGAGGTACGAAGGGGGGAGGGATTCCTTAGGCAGCCTTTCATTCTAGTAATTTCCTAAAAGTCATGGGATAGCCACATTAAAAGCTCACTTGTCAGCCTGTTGGGAAGTCGAGGGAAAACAACAGATTAAACAGCTCGGCATGCACAACCAAGTGGAACGAGGCATGAAGGAATCATCAAGGAACCATGAATAACAACAGTCCCCCCCCCCCCCCGGCAAAACCGTGGCCCCCCCCCCTCCGTGCATCACGTTCCATCACGTTCCTGGCAAACAGGATCACTGAGAAGGGATTGATTATCAAAAGGTTCCCATACTCAAAAGATCGTCGGGGCGGATCCAATGGCTTTGACATACACCGACACCCTCCAGCGTTCCACCAGGGATGGATTGCCCATTCTTGCCAATCCAATTTCGCCGAAACGGCTCCTCCAGTGCTGCCAACTTGGTGGCGCGCAGAGTCGCTTGCTCCGCCTCCTCACGTTGCAAAGCCGCCATCTGGTTCTCCATCGACCGCACTTTGGCCTTGCGCTGCACGCTTCGCGTTGCACGGAGTTACACATGAGTTACACGGTGCAAAGGAGAACGGGCCCCCGCAAAACGCCAGTGGCCGAATTGACTGAGTTCCAACTAGGGCATTGGAGGCACCCGCTACACAAGCCGCAGGATTCCGAATGGGTTCCCCCACTACCTAGAACGCGGTGTTGACTAGGCAGCCTAGTGGGAATCAAAGCGAGCAATTGGAACCCATGCCAGCCTCTGAAATCAGGACGCGTACGCAAGAGCAGATCTGTCTGGGGATACTTGAAACACCTTTGAAGCTTGTGACTACTTTGAACACTGGGAGTGATGACTTCCCTGTAATGATGATCCCCTGGAATGATGATTCCCCTGCAAAAACCCAACAACCAATGGTTTCCCTTGGTTGCAAAGTAGTGCGAACGGATTTCGTCCACCCACAGTATGTCCACCACACACACACACACACTTTCTCCGATGCAGACCCTAGTCTAGTCTCTTGGGCACTTCAGATCGAGGGGCCTATGCTTTGGCGTGGAGCACCACCCATTGACCCACCAGGTTGGTTCATCCTGGGTTCCCACTTTTTTTGGATCCCTCGGTGGGTTCTAACCAGAATTGCCAACCGTTTTGCGAGTCATCCCCTTCCATTTGTTTGCTGCCCCGGATAGATATAAATATTTGTAGGGTATAGATTTCGTTTAAACCTAGCAAGACAAAACACATATTCTGAAGCAAATAGAAGTCCCAGATCAGAGAACCACAGGAGCCTTACCGGCACTTCGCCTCTTGCAAGTGCCGTGTGTCCACAAGCTCCGCATCCTGCGAGATGCCATGACGAATTTGGCCAGGGGGTACTGGCGTCTTCGTTATCTTCCATTTGGTTAAGACCCTTGGAAAAATACTTCACGTAGTGATAGATTCCCTTCAAAACCAACAGGGAAAACATATTCATTTCAGCAAATGGAAGTTGCCAAGTAAGTGCTCCAAACCGAATCCGCTTCCCTCTTATTGGTGGTGGTGAAACGGAGGGGTTTCCCATTTACCCTCCAATGTTGACCCCGGATTAATAAACCCGGTTTATTAATATGGGGGTGTCCCCGGTCCGGTTTTAGTGGGGATTTATCACTTTTGGAGGGGAACACCCCCAAATTAATAAACCGGGGTTTATTAATCCGGGGTCTTTACAAAACCCAGGGCTTCACATTCGAAGCCCCAAGCCACCGGGCTACCAACAGGTGACCCGAGATCGAAGTTCTCGAGGCCTTCGGCCGTACACTTTGCTCAGAAGCGGACCCGCGAGCTTCCACGCCCCTGAACCGTTTCGTGGAATCACAGCTTTACCCAAGACCGACATGCGTCACGTGTCTTTGTTCTTCTTGTTTTCAATGGGGTACCTGTACCTCCTTTTGGGGAAATCCAAAGGGAAAACACATGCGGAACCATCATTTTGGGGGTCCCTTGGCCAAAAACACACACACACACACATGGCTTTCGATCCCTGCTCAATCCCCATGTCCTTAGCAGCAAGCTGCCGCTGCGCGCTGCGTAGGTCCTGGTGAAAAATGTGGGCAACTCCCCAAACCCGCTGGTTACCCGACCAGAAAAGGCCCCCAAACGGAAGAGGACTGTCCCACCGCCCACCCCTCTCACCAACCCTTGCCCTGAACAGGGCTTGTTCAGCTGAAGCCATGAAAGGGGGACATTGGCAAAGGGGCAGGGTACAAGTCGCCTTGGCTGCAAGTCCCCGCTCAGCAGGGTATCAGGGTTTCTAGCCACTGACGTACCGAATCCATTGCCCTCTCAGTACAGCGGGTGGACGCAATCCTGCATCTAAGAAATACTGGAATGACAATTCCCCTCTAAACATGGTTTCAAGCATGGTAACTCATTTCGCGGTGCGAACGGTTTTCGCAACCACCCGCAGTATGGCAAACAAAAAGATTCGGGACTTTTGACCGATCCTATTTTAGCCAAGCCCCAAACCACCAACTCGGGTTACCCAAAATGGCTTGCCCTGGCAAATGGAAACATGGACTAAGACCTGCGGTCCGATTCCTAGTGGTTTAATTTTGACCCATACCCAAATCACACCAGACCCAAACACAACTCGCCCATCGCCCCGTCAGCATTTCAACTAGGTCCTCCAGTGGAGAGGTTAGAATAAGTTGGTACCCTTTTTTTTTCTCGGTGGTCTATCCTCCCCCCAGGGGCATTTCAGCATGCTCCGCGGTCCTTTTCCAGCTCTGCCACCTGCTCATCCTTCCTCCGCAGCTCCAGGCGCGCGCGCAGGGCGGCCTGACGGCGGGTCGGCCCGAATGGGAGGGGTTCCCCCGCCGAACGGGTGGATTGGCGGTTTCAGGAGGGGCCTCTGAAGTCTCCATGACCCTTCAAAAATGGGTCCATGACCCCATTATTTTTGGGTAATGAATCTATTTTTGAAGTGTGATGGAGACCCCAGGCCCCAATGAAAATTCATACAGAATGGGTGGAGGGGCTACAAATGGGTAGAGGGGTGGTTTAAGGAGGGTAAATGATGCCCAAAGAGCCCAAAATAAAATTACTGGCCATTTGTCAGCTCCCCTCTACTTGGTTTGGATTTGCGGCTTAGGTGGAAACCCGGTGGTCAAGGAGGGGCCCCAATTAAAGGTAATGCAGAATGGGTAGAGGGACTACAAATGGGTAGAGGGGCTACAAATGGGCCATACATTCTTGTTTTTTCACAATATGGCATGTAGTATGTACCCCAATTCGTTAAAGTTAATTGCCATTTGTCAGCTCCCCTCTACTTGGCTTTATTGGTGGTTAAGTGGTTTAGAGGCCTTTCCCTCCAGAAGAACCAGAAAATATCCAAATCCAAACCATGGCCCACCATTGGTTCCATACAAAGGATCTGTGCGGAAAAGGTACGCATATGCTGCAGGAACCCTAACCCTCCCCCATTCGAGGAAGAGGTACGAGAGTGTCCAGTCCCAAACCACCAATCCGAAGCAGCAGCTAAGGCTTACCTCATCATTGCCATTTTGGGTGAAACAAGCCAACTAAGGTAACCCTGAATTTAAAAACAAAAAACAATGAACCACAGCTAACGTAACCCTGTTTAAAAAAAAGAACGCCACTAGGGAGAAAAAATCAACTAAGGCAACCCTGCTAAAAAATAATAATAATAATAATAATAATAATAATAATAATAATAATAAAACACCTGGCGTAACCCTGTTTTTTTACAACAAAAAGAAAGCCACTGAGGTAACCCTGATTTCTTCCAAAAAAGCAACTAAGGTAACCCTGGTGGAATTAAAACAAACCACCCCCCTCGAGAAAACGAACCAAGCGCGCACACCGATGCCTCGTCCGCCTCTTGCTCGAGGCGCCTGAGCTCCTGCCTCACGCGCTGCACTCGCTGATCCCCGTCCTGGCGACGGCAATCCCGGACTCAAAGGGCCGACAAAGGGCCCAGAAAGGGCCGAGGGTGAGCCACGCAAGCAATTTCGGGGACAAATTAGATTTTATCCAATGCACTCACTTGCCCAGTTTGGACCCAGAAATAGAAGGTGAATGAAGGTGATCACCTTTTGGGGCCATGATTAAAAAGGTGGTTGCCAAAAGGGGGAAAACCAACAGGTCAAAAGGTTCCTTATGGGTGGCTCGTCGTTTTCGAGGTTGAACCCGCCCGTTTTAAGTTTATGGTTGTCCTTTTGGTTTCCCCTTAAAAGAAGCTCGCTTCTGAGCCTGTCCGGTCCCTCATCCTGGTCCTCAATCAGGCAATATGTTTTTAGAAACAGGGGGAACCGGGGTTTGAGGAGGTGGAGTTGGATCCTATGATCTTTGGGGGGGTTGGTGGTTAGGCGTTCGGCCGAGTCGGTCATAACTTGACTGAGCAACCAAGTAAATGCTGCTTGAGTTCAGTACGTGGTTAACTTCACAGTTGCGCTCCAGTTAAACCCTTTGCATCCGTGCAAACCGGGTGCATTACTAAACCCAGAGCCCATGCAAGTAGGAAGTCTGAACAACTGAAAATTCTGAGTTAGGGGTTAAGGGGGATTTCACAGATACTTTAAGCAATACGAATTTCAGGGTGTGCTTTCAACAATACGTGTGCTCATCTGTGTTTGAAACACCTAGCACCACTTGTTGGGCCTATTTCAACATCACTCCTCCAAAAGGAAGCTCCTCAGGTCAAGGTTCCTTCGGCCCTTGGCCCTTCACAGCTATTGGTGAGAGACATGTGAAACCTGGCATGGGGACAACTGCACAAGCGCGTACAGGGCCTATGGCAAATGGAAACCACAGCGATTGAAACCTATGCCATTCTTGAAACCGCCACACTCATATTTGGGAACCCCCCCTTCCCCCATTTCCTGGCGAAACGAAAAAACTCCATCCGCATATCGCTCCTGTCGCTCTTGGTCCAGCTCTGCCCCTGTCGGACAGCCGAATCAAAAGCGTGGGCCCGAAAGCATGGGCTGGCCCTGGAAGAAGCTCCTTTGTTCTTTTCAGCCTTTTGTTGTGTAATTGATGGAAAACCCGAAACCCAGTTCTTTCCATGGATGCTTTGCAGGGTTGCCGGAACCGTTCTGGAAGACTTGCCGCCCCCCTCGCACAATGGTGCTGGGTAACTTCAAGAGTTCAGGAGTCCTGCAAGCATACCACTTGCGGAAGGGAAGTTCCATGTCCGCAATGTTAGTTTGAGCGAGGGCGTCGTAGGAAGTATTGTTCCTGGGAATTCGTTTTGTGTATTTTTGCTTCAGCCACCCCTTAGTGATAGGTTGAATTGAAAGAACCCCCCGACGTGACCCCAGTATTCCTTCAAGGGTTTTGGAGGCGAAGTACCGCCTCCAAACGCCCCTCGATTCCATTGGTTGAGGAACCATACGCTCAGGTTTCCAACCTGAGATCACCCTTCAGCTTATCCAAGTCTAAGGTGCTTCCAAACCTACGCTCACCGAAAGGCTGGGAAAAGACCCAAACCCAATGAATGGCGGGGCCGGGCGGCTTTGTTTGCGTCCTTTTCTGGAGCTACCCCAAGTTTTTGGTACGGCTTTAAAGGAACCGTTTCCCCCACCCCCCCCATGTTCTTGATGTGTGTGCTTCTTTTTGAGGCGGCAATCCCAAAGGTTTGGATTCTTGCAGCAGGAGGTGTTGATTTTTTGGGGTTGTCAGGGTGGACTTTGGGAAGCTTGGTGCCTCGTCAGCTTACCCCCGAATGGGGGCCGGAGTTTAGTCGTTTGGACGCGGCTCCACACACATTATATATATATATATATGCAACACACACGACAAAGAAGGGAGCTCGCCAATCACATTGGCGTTTCAACTTTGAAAGGTACTGCAGCTGGAACTCACAGCCGGAAATCCGCCCACTTCAAGGACACCCTTCCTGAACATCAGACCACTGCTTAGGTGCTATGTAAGTAGAGGGTCGCACTTGAGGAAAAGCGGGCCGAAAGCTGGTGCCGGTTGCCAGAAGAGTAAATGCAGCCTGTTCCACTGGCCTGCTTCAGAGAGACGTCCTAGGTATGGTCCGTTGCCCTACAGCATGAGAACCAGGCATGTCCAAATCCCCCTTCCTTGAAACCAACCTCAAAAAGGGTACCCTCAAAAACTTACTTCGCAAGTGGGCCAAACAAAAGTTCCTAAACTTCTTGTTTCCCGCTACGTAGAATGGCAACCAACCCCCAAAAGTACCCACAGTCCGAAACGCGCCTCAGGAAGTGAGGTCCGAAAAAACAAAAAAAAAGACCCACCCCAGCCGCTGAATTGAAAACCCATCACCCGCACCAAAAAAAAGCCCAACCCCAACATCACCGAGCCCAGTCGCTGCTTTAAACCCTCCCCCCAAAGAAAAAAACATCAAACGCACCAACAACCGCCCCAAACGCGCCCCAAGCGCCCCAAGCGCCCGCCCCAAGCCGCGCGCCTTGCCGCCGCTGCCGCTCCTCGTGGCCCGCCAGCGCCGCCTCGGTGCCGCAGAGCCGCTCCCGCGCCTGATGCGCAGGATGCGCCAAAGGGGGTAACGCCGGGGTGCTTCAAACGGGAGGCATCTGTCACCTGACTTTTTGGGGGGTCTGCTCGAAAAAAAAGAGGGGGGAACCAACATTTGCGGGGTAACAGCGGGGTGGCTCAGACCTAGAGTCTCCTTCTGACCCTTTAAGAATGGTTGGTCATGACCCGAATTTGGTCATAGTAATGACCCCATGTTTCAAGGGTCGTGGAGAGTCTAGGAAGAAAAGCCATCCGTTACAACCTGATTTTTGGGGAGTCTCCTCGGAAAAAAAAACTAGAATGGGGAAACCAAAAATTCGGGGGCTAGTTCCCATTTTGGATTGAAACGTCACCCTGTGTAGGGAGGTTGCTTGTGCCAAGGCATCCGAGCAAAAGTATTGGTCTTCTCTGGCTGCTGAAACAGGCTGGATTTCTGAGCACAAACCACAAGCAGCCCTGTCCTTGGCGTCATGATTCCACGGTCAAAGTCACCCAGGTCGTTGCAAAAGGGAAACAACATCTCGATCCCAATGTTCTACACTGCTTTGGGAGCCGGAGCAGCCTGAGTAAGCTTACTCAGATGAACACAAATAAACAAACAGAGGCAAATGAACAAACCAGAAGAAACGCCAGAAGCCATAAACAACTGAACCTCAGTTGTTCAGTGACCCCGGAAAAAAAGGGAACCCTTTTTGAGGAAGACCATTTTTAGTGGGGCAGCCACCAAAAAAAAAGGGGAAAAAGGGTGCCACCGAACAACTGAGGAACAATCAACATCCGGCCACGCACTCTGCAAGTGAACGGAAAAACCGACAAAAAAAAAGGCTTCGGGGACAAGTCTTGACCCGAAAAGGCAAGCCACGTCTGGCGAGCCCGAACATGAAAAGAGAAGGTTTGGTCCAAACCAAAAGGGGTCCTATCGCCACCTTCGGGGATTTCCTTCTGATCTACCTTGAAACTAACCCACATAGGGCACCTTCCTGAAGAGAAAAACCCTGAGCGCCCTCCCTCTACCTGAGGGTCTTCATCACACGGCTGTGAGTGTGGGGCTGTTGCAGCTGAGCGGTTGTCATGGTTGTCCCTTTCTGCGTCTTTCTCAGCAAAGGGATGCCAGGACGTCGCTTGAAAGAGGCAGAATACGACAGGTGCAGTAGGTGATGAGTATAAGCCGCTGACCATGATACTTCTCCAAGTAGGCTCTGACTAGGGTCGCTGGCCACACTGCTCTTTTCAGCATAGGGCTTTCCACACAACATAACAAAAATAAGATAGCTCACTAAATCCTTCGGTGGCTTGCCTTTCCACACCTTAGTTTCTGATCTAACCTCCGGACCGAGTACACTCCGTCAGACTAACATAGAAGCTCCCAGAAGGCCTCTGTACATGGAACCAAGTCTTCCATTTCGGTGTCGTGGAAACTTCCATGTTAATGTTGGCCCCATATCAATTCATAAACCCCAGTTTTTTTGAGCCCTTTGGAAGGTCCGTTCGGGAGTTTCCATGGAATCGTCTGGAGGGTACAACGCCTCCGTGCCTCGCCGAAACCTTCGACTTCGACTCGCCGACTTCGACTCCAAACCGCCGCCCGGCTCGACTCGACTCGCCCAAAGCTCGACTCGCCTGGCGGGTCTCCTCCCTGGCGCGGCGCAGCGCCAACTCCTCTCGCTTGCGAAATCTTTCTTCCCCTAAACGTGACGAACTTTTAGTGGCTTGCGGAACACCTAGTCGCTAAAAGTAACTCACTTTTAGTTGCTTCATACGGAACCCCACTAGTTGGCGACGAGTTTTGAGGTCCTATCCAGTTCAAGTTCATGGAACAGCCACACTTTTAGTGGTTTCATAGGGAAAACCTAGGCGACAAGTTTTCACGTCCTCCTCCACCTTCGCCTCGCTGAGCTGCGCCTGAGCCGCCTGCGCCTCGCTCGACGGCACTCGACGCTCGGTCTGCCGGTTGCTCGAGGGCCGAAATGAGCAAATGGCCAGCGACATCGATCCCCTTCTTCAAACCAACTGCTCGAGCAAAAAAAGAAAGAAGAAAAGAAGCCCCGGGCAAGATGAGCAAATGGCCAGTAGCCATAAGAAAAGCCCCTTCTTCAAACCAAGGGGAAATAAAGCAGTGGAAGTCTAGGGAATAGGGAACCAGGGAACTTTTTGCATGACGGCTGACTGGGAGAACTGAAACGGGTCAAATCGTTACCAGGTACCTTTTTACGACTCTAGGCTTTACATGATGGTTTTCCGCTGGCTACCTGGTTGCCTATGATAATTGCAAGCGATGGCCTGGTCTAAATTGGAGAAGCCATTTGCGTGTGTCGGAGTTTTGGGGGGCCCAACTTGTTTCTGGGGGTTTCTTTTTCGTACCCAAAGAAGGGGGCCAAAGGGCCCCCACAAACACGTTAGCGCAAAGGGTCAAACAATTACCTGAAGAAACCGGGATATATACCTTTTACATGGTTGAACGTCGAATTAAACCCCTGCGGGGTGTGGTTTGGGAATAGTGGAAAACATCTTATAGGTGTAAGTCCGGTAAAAGGAACCTTCTTGGTGGGTTCTATACAAGTCAGTTGGTGTACTCCAGTTCGCTTGCAATCCAAGCGCCAGGATTTTCTGCAGGGGTGGGTAAAATATGTTTTTGTAAGAACTAGCCCTATTTCCGTTGCCGAGGGGGAACAATCCCCCGGGTTGGAAGGGGGATGGATTGTTCGAGATTTGCGCCCAGGGGATGGAACACCAAACAGAGGTTGATTCAACACGTATTCAAACGAAGAGTTGAATCGCCCAACTGATGCTCTTTGGAGTTGTGAGCCTTTAAAAGAACCAATCAACTCACTTAGATCTCAAAATGGGGAAGAACCCACCAAATGTGGGTTTTTCAGCTGTTTGCCTTGAAAACCATCCACAAAAAGGGGGACACCCCCACCACCCATTCGCTTCCGCCTCTGAGAGGAGGCCGCGGAGCTGAGTCTCCTGCAAAATGGAATAAAGACGAGGCCAACATGGGAGCGATTTGTTTTTAGAACCTGAATTCTTGGGGACCCCAAAGCAAAACCACAAAAAAGAGTTCGTAGAGGTGCCTCTCAAAAACAATTCCATGCGGGTTGTTCCCTCCCCCATTCTAGGGGTTGATTCCTTGTCCAGTTTTTTCACCCATCGTTCTTTAAAAAAACCCGGCTCCGTTTCCAACCTGGGTTTTTGATGGTTTCCTGAAAAGAAGGGTACCCCTAGAAACATGGGAGCGACTGTTTCTAGGGTATCCTCCTTCACGCTAGCATGGAAGCTCCCAGGACCCCTTTGGAAGACTTGGATCCACTTGCAGCGGCCTTTTGGCTGCTTCCATGCTAGTCTGAGGGAGGGTAGCCTTTGTTAGGGTTGTTTTTTCAGAATACCTTTGTTGGGTGCTTTGTTCTTTGGGAGTGTAGAGGGAAACTAACCATTCTTGAGGTACCCGAAGGCTGGGAGTGGTTTTCCAGGAACACCAAAAGCACACCAGACAAATGTTTGGACGTCCCTTTTTTTAAGACCCCGCCAACCCAAAGTAAAACCATCACACCCATGAGCTTCAAAGGGGGAAATCAGCACAAGGCGGTTCCACCTTTGGCTTTTAAGCCTTGAACCCTGGTCATACCAACCCAGATATCACCAGCAAACGCAAACCTACAACGGGTTTCCTACCTCCACAATCACGCCCTAGCTCTTCGTCAAGGTCATGTGAAAACCAGTTCTGGGAAGGCATCCCCAAATGGGTGTGACACAAAAAAAATAAGAGCCAGGGTTTCGCAGGTTTTAGTCTTCGGTGAAGTTTACGAAGGTGCCATTTTGGTACATTTGAGCCACACCAGTAGGCAGTACATCTCTTATCCAAGGCTTATACTCATCATGGCTGCCCGTCGTGTCTTGTTTGAGGCTCCACACTTGCAAATATCCTCCCAGAAATGGTTTTGGACAATACCCTATGGATCTATCTAAGTTGTGTCAAGCACAGGGTGACGGCCCACTCCCGTTTCCCCTTCGGCCAACCTGACGCACCGAATCTGTTGCATCGTCCTGGGCCTCCTTCTGTACTCGCAGCTCTTTTTGCAGCGCCCGGACCTTCGAAGTCGCAAACGCCCACTTTTTTCCACCCCCCGAAGCCCAACCCGTTTGGAACGCCCCAAACGACTCCCCCAACCAGTTGCTCCAAAGACAAGCAAGCATGTTCAAGCGAGGCTGTGGCAACAAAAGCCTTGGGAATGAGGAAACTCTCCTCCTGCAAGTGCAGAATTATCTATGGGCAAGGCCACGAAAGTACAGTGGAAATTCCAAAATCCCTTGAAAGGGAAACCCGCTAGCTGGACAAACTTGCTAAATCGACTGGGCAAGTTGCTTGAGGAGTCCTGAGAAAGTCTGACTGGCGAAGCTTCCCTTCCCGACCCATATCTCCTCTTGTTTGACGGTTCTAAACATTATCTGTTTGGCCCACAAGTGAGCTCTGAAGTAAGTTGCCGCCAAGTGGGGTTGTCTCAACATAAGGGACCCCAAAAAAAAGTCGGCTTCCAGTTGAGGCACACTCTTTTATCTGTAGAGTATTTTAGTAGGGGAACCCTCCCCTAAAGAAAGGGTAAAAGGGCACTACTGGGGGACGCTTTTGAGGATCCCCCTACAAGGGACACCCCCAAAACACGCGAGACGCAGTCGCCTCCTCCTGCCGCTGCGCCTCTTGCCGCGGGGAGGAGGCGCCGGGCCAGTCTTGAGATGCCCGCAGCGACGCCAACTCCCCTGGAGAGGGCGAGCATTTCAGGTTTAGCCAGCCAAAGTGTATATATATAGTAATAGTTAAATAATAATAAAGATAATAATAAGAACATAATAGGCATAGTAATAATAATAGTAATCTATTTAGTAATAATAATGATGAGAATAATACTGTTTTTTTCGGGAAGATATGAACATCACCCAAAAAACAAAAGAACAAGAGAACACTTCTGTTTTGTTTTGTTGCAAAGGAGGTCCTACGAGTACATGGCCAGCCCCTGGGAAATCATTACAAAACCAAATCCTCCTGCAACCCCGAAAGCAATCAAATCTCGGTTTCGGCACAAATCCCGTGATCTTCAAACTGGCCCCCCCCCCCTCAAGTGAACATTTGAGGATGGTTTCAACAATAACCTGTTCCTTCAAGTGGTGTTTGTTTTTTTTGGCTTCCTTTTTATATTGTAGGAATGAATCATGTACCCTCCAACCCAAAATTCAGGTCTGTGCAAATATGTTTTAGCTGCTGGGTAGTGCTCTGGGTAGCCTGCCTGGTTGTGGAAATTTAGATATTGAGACAACTTTCTTTGACACTGAGGCCAACCCCTTCACAGCGAGAAAGTCAAAAGCTCAGATCCGGTCGATTCGCTCTGGGCAAGTGAGTTTGGTCTCCCTTTCAAAAGCGTTCCCCCCCAAAAAATGGTGCAAATGAGCTTGGTTTCCCTTTTAAACCAAGCTTAAAGCAAAGGTCCCCTCACAACAAACAGCATTAGATGTAATCAAAAAATGCGTAGCGTCATATACATATATATGTATATATAACAATATATTAATCAACCAAAAACCACTAAAGCAGCGCACTCGGGTTTGTGGTGCCTGTGCCCAACCGCCCTAACCCCACGCCGCGGCCCACGTCCACCGGCCACGCCTGCCGAGGCCACCGCCGCGGCGGCCGCCGCGGAGCGCTCCTCCCAGAGCTCCGAGCGCAGGCGCCGGGCATCCTGAAGCCACCAGGAAGCGGTTCGCTGGGTGTTACTACCGTCCTAGGGCAAATAGATGATTGAAGATTGAACCAACAGGTAAATGATTGAACCAACAGGTAAATGATTGCAATCCTTTTTGGTTGAACCAACAGGGCAAACGGGTTTCCCTGGTAGATGATTGAACCAACAGGTAAACCAGGAATCGAAACCCATCTATTTTTCTACCAAAACAACCAAAAAGGACAGCTATGGTTACGTAAAGGGGCGACCGGGTACCTAGACTCTCCTTCTGACCCTTGAAACGTGGTTGGTCATACCTAAAAGAAAGGGGTCATGACCAACCATTTTTAGAGGGTCATCATGGAGAATCTAGGAACCTAGTAAGTGGCTAGGTAGCCTGGTTGTGATCCACTTAAAAGACTTGTATCAGTTGTTTTTACATATTTACCAAGTACTCTGCGTCTTTGGGTGCTACCCTCCCACCAATTGACATGGAAGCTGACGTTTGATGGGGTCTTGGTTGCGACCCTTTTCCTTTCAAAGGGACCCCCTGACAGGTTCCATGTTCATTGCTGGGAGGGTGCTAGAAGGTGTTACTACGTGAAAGGGCGACCGGGTACCTAGTAAGTGGTTACGTAGCCTGGTTGCAATCCACTTGAGACTTATTACCATGGTTATTACCAAGCTCTCTGCGTCAAGTAGGAGTCCTTTTCTAGGACCAAGGCTCAGGATTTGAGAAGCCTTCAGTCTTACGCACCGACCCAACGGACCGAACCGGCAACGGCACGAGGCCGCCTCCGCCGCCGTGGCGCGCTGCTCTTGCAGCTCACCCCGAAGGCCCTTCACCTGCTCCTCGCATTCGACTCTTGGCTTGGGCGGTTTACCTGTGAACATGGATAGCCTCAGATCAAATAACAGCAGGGATCCAAACCCAAAAAGTGACTAAAGTCAAGGAACTCAGGGAGTGAGAAAACAGAGATCCTTACATTATACACCTGAACATTGCCTTGTAAATGGTGGTATCCCTTTATTTTGGAGAAGATGCCATGTTTCAAATGGGCGAAATGAATCTTTTAAGGAGCCCTGCAACAGGGAACCTGTCGGGAAAATGTTCGAAACCAGGACCCCCTTTCAGGTTCCATGTTAATTGAGGGGAGGCTACGTCTGCTTTATGGCTATTTGGCAACGGATCTTCGGCCTCCAATTGTCTCGTCCAAATATATCGCTGTAGTCTACATTGCCTAAATCAACGTATGTATACGTACAAATGGCTGATGTTTCGTGACCGGGCAAATTCAACATGAATCCAATCTCTACCCCTAGTTTCAATTGTCCAGCCATTCCCCTTGGGGCCATTCAATGGATAATGTTGGTGACCCCTTTTTTGCTTACAACGAAGTTTTGACGTTCAGTCGGGCTCAAGACCTGGAAATGTTGCCGTCTATGTTTCCTTCCCGTTGTGCCAAAGTTTGAGCTTCCTTTGGTAGGGATTCACACCTTGTTCAGGAGGCTCCCACAGCTACTCTGGGCGTCCTTCACCCCACCTTGCCATTTGCTATGCAGGTGTCACTTGAAGTTAGCCAGGGATGACTTTTGGATCTACCATCAAGATTCCCATGACTGTATGTGCAAACGATTTTGGTTTAGACCCTGTGTGTGTGTGTGTCACTGCATTTGACCTAACTAGGTCCCTGCTTTTGAGACAAACCCCACCATTCTTTATTTCTCATGCCGCCAGTGAGGACCCAATTCGCAAACCTGTGCATCCATTCTCCCTAGGGATCCTTTCTAGAAAGCCAACAAAACCCATGGGGAAACGCATCCGGTTTATGGGAATCAACCCCACGTGCATCCTGAGTTGAGCCTAGGCTCTTGCCTGATAGCAATGTAAAGGGTTGAACCATTGCTGATCACAAAGCAATGGAACAAACTTGCAAATAGCCAACTGACAAACATTCTAATTTTACCAACACACAAACTATTGTATGAATAACTAACAAAATACCATTTGCATTTAGCCCAGACATGCAAGAATTTGCATTTTGAAGAATGGGGGTGGCACCCGTCTATTGCCCCCCGCCCTTCCTGCCCCTCGCCTTGGCCTCTTGGGCGGAGGTTTCCAGCAAGGACTGCGCCGCCCGCTGGTGTGCCAGCTGGGCATTCAGCTCAGTCGAACGGATCTGCAGCAGGTCCTTCTCCTTGGCCTCGAGGGGTCAAACAAATCCTGCGGTAACCATACCCTGGGGTTCAGTTGCCACCATTAAAACCATGTTTGGGTTAATCTAACCTGTATTTACCTAGCCCATACCCGTCTTCCTGTCTTCCATGGAAAGTAAAACAAACTCGACACTGCCAGGAAACGAAAGGGAACCCATTGCAGATTTAAGTTTGGATGGTTGCGAAATCAATATGCTTCTCGCACCACGAAATGAAGCCATGGTTGAAACCCATGTCGGTTGATATTTTCAGGGGAAGCATCATTCCAGGGTTGTTTGTGTGGTGCATTTCATGTATCCACAGTATGGTAAACAAACGCTTTTCGGTTCCTGGGGAAAAACAGTGATAGATTCCCTTTAAAACAAACAAGGGAAAACTATCAATTGTCATAAGCAAATGATAAGGGCGGCTAACAACGCGTCTACAATTGGGTGAAAGCACCCTTCCCCATGGCTAAGACAATCCACCCCTTCGGGAAGCTGACAACCCTCCGTAAATGACGCAACATCTCCATTTAGGTTGAATAATCCTTGAGTACGGACACCGGCCATCTACTTTCATCCTGAAGCAAGAGCGTACAAGTAGATAGGGCAACATAAGTAGAAAGTGTTGAGGCAATTTTACATGGCAACCTTCATGTACGAACCGTCCCTTCTCCTTGGCCCGAAGGGTTTTAGGGTGTAACACATGGGCTCTAGAACGCTACACATGTCCACTGGCTAACTCAAAGTTCAACCGAACACCGCAGTGAAGCAAACACATTGTACCTGAGGTTAACCTTCAGCTATCAGCTTCTGCAAGTCTGCAAGCTTAGGGAAGCCAGGAATGATTCCCCGCCGGCATTACCCGCCCCTCGGTGCCACTTGGCCTCGGACACCAGTCTTGCCGAATTCACCCGATCTTGCCTTGACTTGCAACCATAGTTGGGGCATTTGGTGCACTCCCGAAATCTGAAATATGGGATCCCCAAGCTCAAATGCTGGGGGGCAAATATGCCTGTTGCCATTTACAAGAGGCAAATGCTTGTTGCCAATGGCATTACTGAAACGGGCTCACAAAATTGGAATGCGGTTCTGTGGCACTTTTCAACCAAATCAAGTCATGATAATCGGAGAAGGTCGCTTACAACTAGTTTGCCCGATTATTCATTTGGGAATGTGTCAAAATGGGAGACAAATAAAAAATGGTTTCAGTTTGCTTTAGGGCTTCCTTTCAACAAACCCAAAACTGGCACCGAGATTCAAAAAACAAACGAATGTTGTTATTGTATCCGCAACTGATACGTGAGCGGGGTTCCAAGATGGTTTGCAGCACCCCCCCCCCCCCGCCCCCCCGCGCCACTACCGCGAGGGAAGAGACACGGGTATATATATATATATATATATATATAAAAAAGAGATATATGATAGCCTCTTTGTCATTGCGTTCTTGCTTGGGTGTCCCATCAAGCTTGGCTAGTGACAGCCATCTTAGATGGGTCACTGAGACCTTGTTTTCTATGATCAGCTTCCCCCGAGTTGGCGGTTGGGTTTGGTGGTTTGGGCCTTAGTCATCTTCATTCATCTTCCCTTAGGTGTCCTTTTGGGGAAAATCGATGGCCCTGCCGCATGAAACAACCAGGTCAGCCAGGTCCATCTACTCTCGACCAAAACAACCAAAAAGGACACCTATGCATCTTCTGAAGTGAGGCCCCCTGAAAAACATACTTCCAATAGTGATCGGTTCCCTTTAACCCAGGGGGGAAAAACGAAATATTCATTTCATTTCATTTCAGCAAACGGAAGCCTGTGAGCCTGTGAGGCTTCCGCCAGCCTCCCGTCTCACGCTCCCCAAAAAAAATCCGCGAGCCTCGCCTCCGCCCGCAGCCCCCGGAGCTCGGCACGCAGGGCATCCTCGCTGTCGCCCTGAAACGAGGCCGGTGCCGAAAAATGTGCGGCTAGGTCCTCCAGACTTGCGAGGTTAGAATAAGTTGGTACCCCCAAAAAAGGGTTTAAGGGCACTACTGGGTTTCCCTGCTGGAAGTAGAGGCAAGAAATGTGTGCAGCAAACCAAAACGCCCGCGCCGGGCCGTGCGCCGTGCGCCTGCTGCAGGATGGCCACCTCCCGTTTGAGCCGCGCGGCGTCCGCCCGGTCGGCCTCAGGCGACGTCAGATGTCCACACAAAACCACCTGCGAGGGCCATGATTTTGACTGATTTGCATTGAGATGACTCTTCGAAAACCACTTGGTCATCTTTTGTAGCGTCATAGATTGGTCATCTAGGCTACCTATTGCGGCGGAATTTGGAAGATGACCCGTTTAGTTCTTTCCACAAACAATCCATGTCCCCAGAATGTTAGGTGCCCGGAATCCATGTTCCATCAGTTTCCATGTTCGGCGAGCTGCAATAGGGGAAGTTACCCTCAGAATGGAAATCAATGGCGGAAGTCACTCCGAAACTGCCTGAAAAAAGCATCCGTGGATGGCCATATACTGAAGCCACATCTGTTGTTTTTCTTTTTGTCACCCTTACCCTCAGAAAATCCCCACTGAAGTCGCCCTCTCTCCTTTTTCGCTCCGTCCAAAAGAGAGCGGGACGGAGAAAACCCCCAGCAGCCCGCTGC